TTTGTACATACAAGTGTAAGGGCACCTGATCCCACACAATGCCCACAAGAGCTTTGTGTTCATAACAGCAGAGAAAACTCCTTCAAAGGCATCTCTGTCATTAGGAAAATAACTGTGTTGACTCTATTCAGACACGTAAATGCTGACCTTATCTTAGGGTCAGAAAGAAGAAGGTCTCAACTGTCAATGGTCTTTTAAAATGATGCTTGATTCACAATCACATCCACCTGTCATTTGTTCTTGAGCAGATGGTCAGCAGGAGACAGCCACATGCCTTGACATGTCTATACAAGGACAAGACTATCTGTCCTTCAGCCCAGAGAGGCACAGTTGGACTCTCTGTGCATGATATTTGCCATAGAAGTTGCTTTGTCAGGCTTTTTAACTGCTAGTAGCTATGCTGTTGGATTTTTCATTTGCCTCATAATGAACCAATAGTCAGAAACTAGAGTCCAAAAGAATACCTATTTAATAGTTTAAAATTCTTGCTTTAGAACCTATTTATCAAAAAAGGAAAAACGTTTGTGATGGGTTCTATATTGGTTATGTAGGCAAGAAGGCATGGTGGGAAAAAGAAAAGACATGTCACAGATTGAATATGTTGTGTTTGCTTTCTAAACAATGACACTCATTTTGTTGTTGTTTGTATTGTATCTGTAAAAGGTAACAGAACATTTTCATTTCCTTTACTCATTGGGAAGGTCTCTTAACCTCACGTGTGGCTTATTTGCCTGTTAAAGCACTTCAGATGGATGTCTGCAAAGCAAACCCTTTTTGCATTCTCTTTTACTTAATACATTTAAAATACAATGAAAGAGTAGGAGAACACAAGAAAACTCAACTGGAGTGCTTTAGCAAGTTTTCACAATTAAAACCACACTATGTCTACTATCTGCTAAACCCAACCAACAACCATTTTAAATGGCAACTTATTTTTTTTTTTTTTACTATGCAAAACCCACCCTACATTTCCATAGCCTGAATTTTATGTTATTTTATATATCATGGTTAATTTTCTAGTTTGGTTTCTTCTTAATATTAAAAGCATTTAACATTTGATAACCTAACTAATTCTACTTCTTACAGCATTGTCATGATTGTGTCCCGTTATACACATGCTTTCATGGTCACCTTTTTTTTTTTTATTACCTTGTGAACTATGTACTAGTTAAGTAATCAACAATTACAGATGGACAAATAATTCCCGTTTTTAAATAAATGTTAGACTATTCAAAAGAATCTTGTATTTACATCCTTCTGTGTCAGACATAAAAACTTGTTTTTTCTTTCTAGTTTTGACACTTCAGGAAGCACATGGATCAGCCACAAACTTCATCTATGGGTGAACCCTCTGTCCCTCTGCTATCCTTTCCCCACTATTGACAGTATTTACCATTCTCAAAGGTATAGCACATGACAATGACACATTGAAAGGCTGCCACCCTCCACCATTTCTTCTTTCAGGTTAGAGGCAGTCCGTCATTCTTCCTGACTTACAAAATTCAGATTCTTAATAAGGCTTTGATCTTTAGCTTTTGTGTTTTTTAACAGTTTGAAATTTGCATTGTTTTCACACTGTTTCAAGAATGCTTCTCGAGAGAGAGAACCAAGTCCTAATCTGTGCTACTAATGTAATTCAGGGGTCCTAATTCAGCCCTAAGATGGATTCCCAGTTGCACAGTGCAGAATCAGTGATCTTTTACTAGTCCGGGTCAGAATCAGGGAGCTTTGTTATCTCAGCCTTGTTTGAATAGCAACATTTTGGTGACTCTGGACCTCTTGTGACTTAGATGACATCCTTTCTCATCTGCTTGAGAATGACTTCTTTAAATGACTATTTCACCCCCCCAAAAAAACAAACAACCAAACAAAAAAAACCCAAAGAACAAAAAAAGTTACCCTTCCTGAAAATTGGTTTTTCCAAGATAATTATGATCATTAAGACTTGATGGTTTTAAAAATAGAGTAAGCTTAATTTCAACATTAGTTTTACTCAGTCTTACAAATGAATTCTGCATATTTTGATTGGTACTGCTGATGACTAGCACCTGATACTTCACAGGAACTAGCATCTTACAAAATCAGTTTAGGTGAAACATGTTATTCTCTTGAGTAAATGAAAGCCACCTCACTCCAATTCCTGCCTGTTGTCCCTTTCATCCACTCTTGAATAAATTCCCTCTAGATAGTCAAAACTGAAACAAACAAGAAATACCAGATTTGAAATCAAGCACGCAGTAGTAAGTCATAAAAGAGAATGATAAAACGGCATTGGGGTCATTCTCAATTTCACCAGGACCTATCTCTAGGGGAGATGCGAAGAACTGCCAAGCTTGTGCTTTTAAGGGAGAAAGAGAGCATTCACTATGTTTCCATTGCTTTAACAGTTAAGAGACTACAATGTTCCTTTAACAAATTAAAAGATTCTGCTTTCTTCCTCCCAGTAGAAGCCATACAATATTGTAAATGAAGAGAAAAGGTCATCCTAGTATTCCAAAGGTGCTGCCCGTAGAGGGTAAGCATAGGTTTATCTACTAACAAAGGCTTTCTTTCAACTCTTCTAGGTGATAAGTATAAGGTCCCCCTTTCTTGCAGAACCCTCTAAATTGGGTTGGGGAGCTATGGGCTTTAAATCTGTGGCCCTTGGATCATGCTGTGTCTTTATCTCTAGTAAATTCATAGTGAGCCTTCACTAGACAAGATTTCACAAACCCTTCTGTCACTACTTCTCACTTTCAGTTTGCTTCACTTTTCTTAGCTTAAGAGGCCAACACTTTCAAGGGCTTTGGCCAAAGACTATCACTGGCTGCTGATTTCATAGTAAGACTCCAGATATGTCAGTTTGCCAGTGATGCAATGTTCTTCTGGGCCAGTTTGTATCTGGATAAGAACATAGAAGTGACTGTATTTGTTATCTTCAGTAGTTTGAAGATTTTAAACTTATGTCCCAATGAGTTCTCAGAATTTTTACTAAAAACCTGTTCTGTGAAGCCATTCACAAAATAGTAAATTCAACCTGGTTCCTTGGATTCATGGAGAACAGCAAATATATCTAGACTGTTAAAAATGGAAGTCAGAGATGATATTTCATTTATCTGACTGCCTCCCTATACTTTTAGTAGATTTTAAACAAATATCAATTGAATAAATCTAGATTTGGGTAGGTAGATTTACTTTTTCAAAATAGGTAGAAATATAAACATCTTTGAAACTTTTTCTCCCTTAAGCATTCTCTGTTTTACCAAGAAGATTTTTAATCTAATTGAATTTTTTAGGCTAGTGAGTCTAATTTTCTCTTAATAAAGTAATAGCAGAAAGAAATGTTTAAAAATCTAAATGACTTGAAGAAGAATTTTGTAGAAAAGAGTGATGTATTGCATTTCCTTATTTCCTAGAGATTTATTTGTCAATGTTCCCATCACTCATCTTAACACCCATAGGTGTTCTATTAAAATGAAACCTAAAAGAGCTGGTTCTACAACCAGGACATAGGATGGTAGCATATGAAGAGTCATTGCATAAATTATTACAAGAATAATGTACCAGATAATAAAATGATTTCATGAGAAGGGTTTTCATGTTTATTTACAACTCTTAACTCAATTGTGGACCTGTTCATAGGCATCAGATGTTTATGGTTTACTTTTAATTATAGCAACTTAGGTGTGAAGAGTTAAGCTACCTTCTTTATAATCAATATAAACAGAGCCCCATATGAATAATTCCATGGAATTCAAGCCAGTCCTTAACTTGCATTCCTTCACACAGAGAGTACAAACTTAACACACGCCCTTACACAGCAAATGTCATATAGTATGAAGATAATGTGCTGGCCCTCTCACCATAATCCCTGGGTACTGTTCCAAAGTCCTAGTTGGCTTGGTTTGGCATTTCCACAGTCTGTATTTATCTTAGATCCTTTTTTTTTTTAAAAAAAAAAGTACTTAAATTAGTTAATCTGCTGGTTGCTTTCATATTGCTTCATTCAAAATCCAAAGTGGAGTTCAGAAAAAAGAGCAAATAAAATTAGAGCTTAAGTGCAAACTACATTTCTGAGTACCTTCCATATAGACGTACCCAATCCAGTGTTTCTTCCACTGCACAGATCCCCCATGGGACCACCCCTGAAAGTATCAGTAGTTTTTTGAACCACACGTAACTGTTTCTTAGCATCCCTTCTACTCTTAAGATTACCACTGCCTATCAAAGACAGTCATTTATGGAGAACAATAAAATGCTAAAGGATGAAAATGACAGACAGGGAAGAATAAATTCAGTAGTGTGATACATGAAATCTAGATTTGATGCTATTTTTACTAGTATCCTGGCGTCTCTTCTATTTTAAGGACTGCATGATTTAAAATAATGGCCTCTACATTGTATAGTGTGTATATGTTCCAACTCTGTCAAGAAGCTTTTATGTAAATATCTTTGCAACTAGAAACTACAGCCAAAAATATGGGTGGAACTAATATAAAGGAACGGGCGAAAGCAAACCCAAATGAGAAAACCAGATATGCCTTCTAAGCATAATTACTAGTTATAACTATAATGGAGTTTTAAACATTATGAAAGCTGGGTTGGCCATTCTTACTTGCCAGGAACAAAACTATTGGAGAAAGAAATTGGCTTCTCAGTCTCAGTTACTATCAAGTGGTACCCAAATGTTTATCCTTTTTTTCTAATGGACGCATTCATATGATTTTAGTGATGCCGAATATGCACAAGTCTGTGGCTGCAGATGAGAACAGAGTCTGGGCTTTCAATCACCTGCATTGATAGAACAGGAAGGAAGGAAGGAAGGAAGGAAGGAAGGAAGGAAGGAAGGAAGGAAGGAAGGAAGGAAGGAAAAGAAAGAGTGCAAAGGGAACAAAGCTAGGACTCTGACAGCAGGCAATATTACCCTACATATCCCAGACCTTCTCTGGCTCTGCCACTCTGTTGACCAACCCAGATGAAGAAACGAAGAAACAGTTTAACAGTGTGTGTTCTCCTGTCTTTCTCCTTTAGTCTTTCCTTCCAATGTTCAAGTTAGGTAAGCACGGAACTATCATTGTGTCTCTACATCTTCCATTAGGAAGTGTCAAAACTACTGGCCTTGGGTGAAGGAAGACCACCAGAGAAAGAGGAGGGAGTTGGGGGAGAGGGGATGGAGTGGGCGTGTCTCTCCACCTAACACCCCAGGTGAGCTCACACCACAGTATTCCTGTGTCTGTAGGGCGGAGGGGGCAGCATAGTGCCTGGCTTCAGCGAGAACTCCGAGAGGTACTCAGGATTCTCCGCCACAATAGGGCGGATCCGTCCATTCTGTTTATAAAAATATTTTGTGCTGTATTCCTGCAGGTAGTCTGGGTGCTGAAGGGTGCTCCGGGGTGGCAGGCTGTGGTTCCAGTAGTCAGGGTTGTCGAATGCTTTCTTGGCTTTGTCGGGCACAGACAGTACGCTGTTCTTCAGGTACTCCGCGTTCCCCAAGGCGTTTGCGAAGGTGTTGAGATAGAGTGGCTCATTCACATACTCATCCTCTGCCTTGGGCGGACCGCTCGAAGCGCTGTGGTACTCTGGATTATCTAAAGCTTGAAGGTCTCCGTTTTTTCTCCGAGATACAAAAGGGTTTTCTTCCACAGGATTCAGATATTCTGAAAGAATAAAAAACCCCATCTAATAGACATCTATGTTCAGAAAACTGTTAATCTGACTAAAGAGCAACTGTTAGGTTTCTTTAGGACAAGGGAACCACAAATTCATTGTCATAATTTTTCAAAACCAAACAAAGCCTGCTCATGAATTGGGACAGGCATGAGAAAAGTGAGCGGGCTCAAACAAAACACAACAATAATAAAAACTTAGCAAAACAAGCCAGGGACAAGGACAAGATCAGAATCCCAATCTTCCAGATTGTTCTTCTCTTATAAATGCACCTACGTGGTTAAGTACTTGCAACTTTTACAAAAAGGCCAGAGTTTTCTTCCCAGGATCCATGTTAGGCATTCACAAGCACCAGGAGTTCCAGCTCCAGGCCACGGATGTATGTGAACACAGACATGGGTACACATACACACACACACACACACACACACACACGTTCATAGACACAAGCACACACATACATTTAAAAGCAAATTAAAATCTCATCTATCTATCTATCTATCTATCTATCTATCTATCTATCTATCTATCTTCCTAATGTATTCAGGACTATAGTCATCAAAATCCTCATTATATTAAGCGAGGTCATTTACATTATGTATTCAGGGATCATTAGCCTGTGTTTCATAAAAGGTGAACAGAGACATATAAAGGTGATATAATGGGGTTTCACACAGTCTTAACATATGGCCTATTGCTGATACTGACAGACACCATCATGATCATTATTTTCAATAACAATTTTCATTGTCTCTGTTATTTGGCACTGCTAGCATAGATGGAAAGAGGGTTTTTATGTTGTTTGATTTCAAAACTGAAATGTTATATAATATGGGTGTTTAACCTTTCTATGTTTAACTTTTACAAAGCTATTAATTCACAAATTATCATCGAGATGGTGGTATGCAATACAGAATCAAATTTTATTTTTCAAGAAGCATTCACAAATATAGTTTCCTGTGATAAACTCTGTGTGTGTGTGTGTGTGTGTGTGTGTGTGTGTGTGTGTGTGTGTGTGTGTTACTGGTCTTGGTTTAAATCTAAGTTCTCATGTGTGCTAAGAAAGCACTCTGTAAGGATTCACAACCCTAACATTAGGCTAGGTTAGTGAAATTGCATGTTTTAAATAAGTCAGCTCTTTTATTGTTGATGTCAGAAGCTTTGGTCCTTTGCTGGTAACACCTGTCTTTACAGCCTCCATGGGAATTTCAACACAGCAGTGGTTCTGAGGCCCTATAGTATCATACTTTGTCATTCAACTATTTCAATAAAGATGGGTTTGGGTTGGTGTTTCTGGGGCTTCCTGATTGTGATTATAAGTCACTTGATCCAATTTCTTGTTCAGGTGGAGCCTGAAATTTGACTATTTAAAGAAGTAGTTAGGTACCTAGATGACACTGATTCAGAAAACTATTCTGTTATAGAAGTAGTCTGGGCCTTTTCTATGATAGATTGCAAATGTCCCACCTTCCTGCTGTCTAGAAAGTTGACATCTGTCTCCTGCTTGTTTGATGAGGTGATCATCGAACACAATCACTTCTGAACATTCAGCTTGTACCTTGTTTGGGTTTGTCACGCATTGGAGTCATGTAGCCTTCTTCATCCAGTTCTCCTCGGGGGTTCCGTTCCGGGGCAAACACTGTGGGATCAGCACTATATCTCTGTGTGCTACTGTCCTCTTGGACATGGGGTGCCACTGGCTTGCGTAGGGTACCATTGCAGCAGGAGTCATCAAACATCTCAGCTGTTGCACCCTGAGCGACTGGAGCTTCTGGTATGGTGTTGGTTGTGGCTCTGTAGGGCATGGATATTCCTTGTTGTGTAGCAAAGCCCCCATCCTGGTACACAAACTGATTCTGTTAAAATAACAGAAACACATTGGGAGAATCAATGGTTAGGAAGAACTGTAAAAGGATGCTAGATGTTACTAGCCAAAAAGATGCCAAACACATTGTTTTTCAAGTTTAGTAATTAATGATTTTTATTTTCCTAGGGGGGGCTAATGAATTTGAAGTAAATACTAGAAACATTTGAAATCCTATTATATATATGTATATACATATGTAAACATACATACATATATATGTATATATATATACACAAACATATAAATATGGACACACACACATTCATGTGCATGGATGTGTGAGTGTAGGTATACATGCATGTGGAGGCCAGAGTTCAATGTTGAGTGTCTTCTTTTATATCCCTCTACCTTAATTCTTTTTTTTTTCTACCTTAATTCTTGAGACAGAGTCTCTGACTTAATTTGGAACTTACCAGTTTGCCTAACTGACTGGTCAGGAAGCCCTCAGGATTGTCTTTCTGCACCTTCCTAGAGCTGGAATTATACTGTACAGTTCTTCATTATATTTGTGTGACAAGCATTTTTCTGACTGAGCCATCTTCTCACCTCCTTCATCCTGACTTTTTCTTAATAGGTAAAAATCATGCAGAAATAATTTAAAATTTTTAATTTTTAAAATTACTAAGACACTAGAGTGTGTGTGATCTAATAAACAGACTCTGTGTTCTTTCTGTACAATTGCCAAATATTGTTATGAAACTCAAAAGTAAATTTTCAAGACAAATGGTCTTAAGTGCAGAAGTACAGTGAAACATTGTGAATGACAATGCACCAATACTACGTCCCCTTCTGTGGTTACTATGACTTTGAGTATCTATTACCTAACAAAAGGACAGGCACTGAGACTCGGACTCTACAGTGCATGACCTGCCACCCATGAGACTGAAGATAAAATCTTCACCCAGAAGCATTATTCATGAACTAGGTAAATACTTCCAATAAACCCTGAATTTCTTGTTGATATATGATGTCTCAGCTGCAGATTATCACCTGAGATACAGACATCTACAAAGGTAGCTACAGAGTCTATAGCCAGTTCTTGACTCACTGTTGGCAAAGGCAAAAAATGACGAAATTATAGAGAGACAGGAGAAGAAACATGGTTAAGAGAAGACCAAAAACCCTAAAAGATGAAGGCTGATCGTGAAATACTTACTCCCGACATGGGGGTGTAGGCAGGAGGAGGGCTGTGTCCAATTTCACTCTAATAGGAAAGAAAAATGGAATGATGGATATAATAAGAGGCAACATGGATGAAAAATTAAAAAAAGAAAAGAGAAAGAAAAGATACGATTTGCATGAGCCAAAGGGGAAAGCGCACAACAGTGAATTTTTCCTAAATAGTCAAATTGTTTCATTCTCACTACAAGCAAGTAAATTTAAACACTAATTCTCCCCACACAAAATTTTTAATGTTTTAAAATAGAATAAGACTGACATAGAATTGTTATTTTTCAGATTAACCATGGAAGATGGAGGGGGTGGGGTCAAGTGGTGAGCCAGAAATAATGAAACTGTGTTTTAAAATAAAGGACACTTTGTTTTTCACATATCAAAAGACCAAACACCTTCATGCTATTTAGTATCATTACAAGACACCAGTTTGTTCCCTTATAAGGAAAAAAAATTATAAGGAGGTAGAGAGTGGATTCCAATTTGTCTGAAATATTTTTTCTTAAGCTACATTTATTTTCACCACTTCAGCAAAGGCCACTCAGTCTCTTATAAAAGAAAGTCAAATAATATTGTATCTTCCATCTTACTTCTTAGAAAAGGAAGAAACAGAATAAAACTTGAAAAGTAAATTCCTGGAAACATACTTTCTATTCCTTTTATGTAGTCAGAATCACAACCAGGTTTTGGCTAAAAAAACAAAAATGCCTGTATTTTTATAGCTTAATAGTCTATCCTTTGGGCTATATGGAAGTGAAGATAAAATATGATAAAATGTTAAGGGTACTGCTCCTTAGGAAGAGAAGGAGGCTGTATGAACCCCAAGTCTATTTCTTAATATAAAAATATACTTTAATCAAAAGTCTGTTCCTTAATATAAAAATATATATTCATTCATTCATTATTAAACACACTGAGAATAGCTTTCTCTTGAGAATTTCTCTCCTTTTTCTGGTATTGAGGACAATGAATAGAGCAGGCAGAAATAGTTCTGTGTATGGTGTAGCACTCTATATCTGATCTTAAGCTAACACAGATGACAAGAGATGCCTTCCAGTCACATATAACATTTATATGAAACACCTATCATCTTGCATCAATGTTCCTACAACTTTGAGATTCATAAAGCAATCTCAAAAGATTGTTCTATGAATAACAACTATTTAATGTAAATCAATAGCAATTGAACAATGCAATTTCACTTAACAAATGCTGTTTGCCAGACTGATCAAAGAACAAGGCCTGTAATGATATATACTGTATTCCACACTGCAGTTATGACAGCATGGAGAATAAAGACCATTTCCTTCTCTAATTACACATAGGAGTGAGGGAGGCAGTGAAGTATTTGTCAATCTCTGCCTGCCCATTTCACCTAGAATAATATTTCTAGGTCCACCTGTGTCTTTTCAAATGATAAGCTTTCACCTATTTTTATAGTCAAATAGTATTCATTGTGTATATGCTTCATATTTTCTTGCTCCATTCAGCTATGTATGGGGATTATTTTTATAGATATATTTAAGATTCAATGCACAGGAGTTGTTATTATACTATGCACATATTATTTTGTTCTGTTAGAAATTTCAGGACTAAACACACATGTTCAGTTGTAAAATATGTCAGACCTGAAGTTTTACCCATGGTCTCTACTTTATTCTTTGGAATGACAAATTATGCTCTGCAGTCTTATATAAATGTAGACTATATATTGCATGAAAGAATATGTGTCAGTTAATCAGAGTTCTTAAGTCACACAATCGTGTTAAAGGTATCTATCAAGGATGCATTTTTAATGCTTATCTGCTCTCTAAAACACTATAAACACAGGCAGATTTTGCTGTCTTTTATAAGGACAGAAAATCAATTCTATTTGTTCCTAATGTTTGATAAAGGAATATCTTATATAGTTCAGTGATTTGTAAAATTGAGGGGTGGCACAAATAAAACATGAGAACTGCCTAAATTCATGTTATAACATTTGAGACCCCAGATTTATCATCAATCCCTGATTAATTAGCAAGTGTTTAACACATATTAATTGCATCTTAACAACAAAACCGCTGGTCACTGTTACAGATGTTAGAAATGCAATGGCGTACTAGAAGAGATGTGGACACTCTCTGAACTTTGGGGACTTATACTGAACTATCATCTATTGCCTGAGATTATGGAAGTAGAAATGAACAAAACCAAAACAAAACCAAGGCACAAAAGAGTGATGCTGCTGGAGAAAATACGTTCCATGGCTGCAATTATATATCAGAAAGTAAAGTATTCCAAAACACTACTAATTACCTGTGTTCCTTTGACATCTTACTTGGCAAAAATGCCTCTACTCTATAATGCTCAATTTGAATCACAGCTACAGCTAGCATTGATTGTGCATTTTGCATTTTTTTTTTAGAACTTGAAAGATGAATGATCAAAGGACTAACTCACAAGCCATTCTCAGTGAGGAAACAGTTCATTATCTATCTTCATTATCTGGGATAGAATGCCTCCAGTTGTAAAGGTGTGTGCCGCGACTTACTGGACTTTGCAGTTAGCTTGTTCAGAGACATGAATCGCTGCTCTGTCTGATAGAATGCATCCACTGTCCTGCTTTGGCAAGTCTCCTCATCAGCAACCTGCCAGCTCCCTTTCTGGACACTGCCAAACAGCAAACAGTGCCACAGTAATGCAGTGTCTTCCTATTTCTTCTTCTTCTTCTTCTTCTTCTTCTTCTTCTTCTTCTTCTTCTTCTTCTTCTTCTTCTTCTTCTTCCCATTCTCAGTATTAAAATGAAAAACAATTCTACACAAAACCCTCTGCGTTCATTGTTTTTAGGGTTACTGTTTCTTTTTATGTTTCTGTTTCCATTTTTCTTTCAGTTTGCTTTATTATCTGGTTTCCATGACAAAAAGCACATCTTTCATTTCCCCATGGAAGGGCAATGCAGCTCCAAGGGAACATCTGTGAGGCCAATTAGCTGGGCTGGGAATGTGATATAATGGTTGTTTAAATATATTTAAATTACATGTTAATCACCATGTCATAATTTACGGGCTTTGAAAATAACTTTTTGTACTACAGAGCCAAGCCAGATTTTACTTGCTTTTTTCTGTTTTTGGTTTGCAACAAGCGCTGCGCTGCCCCTTCTTTCTTAATTCCTCACACTGGATGAGCTGAACTTTTAATACTGGAAAGAGGGACAGCTGCAAGTAGATCGGATGAGTGAAAATTAAGATCCTCCCCACAGCCAGAATGAGCTGGAGTGACCTTACAGTCCTGAGCAAAACAAAGCTTTGCTCCCAGTTAAAAGGCTTTGTTTTCACATTGCACCACTTTCTGCTGTCCATCAAAGTCTGGCTTTGTGGATCTTTGGGAAGCAGCACCAGGTGCACTCATTCAATTAGCTGGTGAGAGGATTTACTGCCAGCAGGACAGAGATAGAAAGAGGTGGGTTAGGAACTGTGAGGGATGGATGAGGAGCGTGTTCGTGGTGGGGCGATTAGTAAAAGTGATGTATAGAGAAAGCATAATGTTGTGGTCCTATCACTGGGCCATTGGGTGACTGACCAGAACTCAAATGTCACAGGTTATAGAGAAGATAAGTCTGAGCACACATAAAAAATGTAGTGTTGCGTGCACTTTTAAAAAGCCTTATGATTAACATTACAGTTGAACAATGTGTATTTGAACTTTTGTAGGATTACATGCACAGTTTTAATATTTCTATTATTTTATATCGATCCTGATTACATTTAAATAACCAGCTAAACTGCGATTTGTGGTTTAAAAATTATCATCGCAACGTATGTTCTTAGAAAACAAAAAATAACACATGTTTAAATGCTTAGAAAGCATCTAAATTAAACATGTGCTTAATGGGTTTTTATCTCTAAATAATTATAGTTTTTGATAGCAAGTACAACAACCTATAGCAATTTCAAGTGCCAAGTGTATAAGTCCTGACATCAGAAATAGAATGTGTCTGTAAGCCATTGCTAATCCATCAGCACTAACTTACTACCGAGACACCTCCACGTAGTAACTATAATGGTTTCTCAACCTTTTATCCTCCCAGGCATGTATGCTTAACAATCTGATGGGCATTTCCACTTAGCCGCAGGTCAGACATCAACTCAGAGAAAATGTTTCTCATTGTGTGCAGTTCCTGTTATGCGCCTGTAACATCCCTTCTTCCTCACAAGTTCATATACTGGTATCTTGAAAACTTCCATATTTCAGAGTGCAAACAGTAGAAAACTGACAAAAATGTGCTCATAGGGGAAAGGCCTATTGAGATTTCAACTGCTGTTTATGATTATATATGTTTATAATCCATATCTGCTATCTATATATCTATTATTTATCATTTATTTATTATCTATATAGCACCTGTGTATCTGTTTATCTATGATCTATAAATCATCTACTTACTATTATCTTTTTATCTATTATCTATATAGCATGTGTTTATCATCTATCTGTTATCTATGATATAAATAATGTGTTGTGTCTATGTGTCTTTATTCCACATCTAATATCTTTCATCTTTGTTTATTTACTCATGTATGCACTTGTCTGTCTCATTTGAGAGAGTAGGACTTTTGTTCCATTTACCACATGCAAAATTAGTAAGTATTTTGTGATCCGATTAAGGGACTATTTACTTATGCTCTTATTCTTTATTAACTTTTTAGCAATCTTAGAACTTTTAATCTTTCATGTGTGTCTCATCTACCCAATTAGTGCAAAGAATTTTAACAAAAGAGAACTGTGAATGATAGCAATAAGTATGACATAAACACACAATGTAGACAATATATATTTTTTTATTCTTCACTCAAAGTCCTTTGTTGATGTGAAATCATGTTGCATACACATGCATTTCGCTACCATTCCCAAAGTCAGCCTTGAAGCAGTCAGAGAACACAGGTCTCTCCATGCCAGCATTTCTGTTTACTAATTTCCTGTTCCTAGTGCAGACCTTCATAGGTTCCTCTTGCTGACTGTCTCTGGGTAAATAACCCATTGTAGCTTACA